GTCCGAATGGCCCCGGGGAAGAAGCTGTTAGTGAGTGTGTGGGACCTGACTGACCAGAGGCGCCGACCGGAGGGAAATGGGTCAAACAGGTGGTGCCGGGGGTCACCTGTGATAGCCCTGGTTTTCCTGAGACAGGAGGATCAGGCGATGACCTCCAGGGGTGTCAGAGGGCAGCCAGGGATGTTTTTGGTGTTTTAATGACCCTCTGTGCAGCCTTCCTGCTCTCAGTCGTGGCCCCTGAGTACCAAACACCAGGCAGGAGGAGAGCACGCTCTCCACTGAAGAGCATTAGCAGCTCCTGGTCCAGGTTATTCTTCCTCAGGACACGGAACAAGCGCAGCCACTGCTGGGCCTTCAGGGCGATGCTGTTGTGGGTCTGAGTGAGATCAGCCGAGATGTGAGTGCCCAGAAACCTGAAGGTGGAGACAAATTCCACCTGTTCTCCATTTACAATGAGAGTGGACCTGTCTGTGCCTACTGAAGTCCATGATGAGTTCTTTGGTTTTAGGATGTTCAGCTTCTGTTTGTTTTCTGAGCAGGAGATATTCTCTTCCTCCATGTAGAATAGAATAGCCCTTTATTGTCATTGTACATATACAGTGAAAATTGCACACGCGCCATAAGGTGCTCCATAATCTGCTGTTATGGCACCGGTCCTGGAGTACATAAGCACACAGCCCGCTGCCCATTAACTTACCGGTGTCTTTGTTGCATCCTGGGGCTGGGGAACCAGCAGCTAGTCACCCAGAATGGCTAACTGAAGGCAGGACAGTCCTGATCCCCAAGGACCCCCAGAAGGGACCAATCCCCTCCAACTACCGGCCAATAACCTGCCTCAGCACCACGTGGCAGCTCCTGTCAGGCATCATAGCGGCTAAGATGAACAGGCACATGGGTCACAACATGAGCGGGACACAAAAAGGAACTGGCAGGAATACCAGAGGAGCAAAACACCAGCTACTGGTAGACTGAACAGTCAGCCGAGACTGCAAGACCAGACTGACCAACCTGTGCACTGCCTGGATGGATTACAAGAAAACCTGACTCAATGCCCCACACCTGGATCCTGGAATGCCTAGACCTGTCTACAACAGATCAACAGGATCCTAAGAGCCCTCATCAGGAACTCAGTGGGGACGTGGCGAACAGCAATAGAGGCCATGTGTTTTTCCACTCCTCTCCTCCTTACCCTTATCTTCCCTGCTTAGCCTTTATGTCCTTGTCTTGTCTCGTGTGCATTACTTTCCCTGGAACAGTCTCTCACTGTCGTTCTCTAAAACCTAAAGAGAATTATGGATTTGATCAACTGGTCTCTGAATGCTATTGACACCCTTTTCTCAACGAGAAGTCTGGGCTCGGGAGAGCCCGAGTACCCTGGAGGGACTTTCCCTGCTGGATACACGATGGACGGGTGGCAGAACTGGAGGACTGTGTGCCTGGCGGGACTGTCGATCGAGGACGCTGAAGATATCTATCTATTCGGAACCGTGATAACAGGGTTCATGCTGATTGGAGTTGGCTTAGCCCTGGTTTATCGGAGAAATGAGAGAGCGGAACCGGCTGTTCAAACCCCCCCAAGGCTGCCCGCTGGAATCGAAGCGATGGGATGAGGCGCGACCTCTCACAACGAACGTAATATGGTCAACACCTTGGAGACGCTTGCAGCTGCTGTGAAGGCTCAAAATAACACCATTGAGCGTATGAGGGGAAACATCAGAGAGAGGCCTGCTCACAATGACACCCTTGAGCGACAGTTGGAACACATCGCGGAACGGATCACTGCAGTTGTGAAGTCTCAGAATCAAAAGAACGACAACACCATGGAACAGAAGTTTGATACCATCATGGGGAGGCTCGCGGCTCTCCAACGGGAGATTGAGAGACCAGCATCAGAGTGTTAAAGAGCAGCCTGAAAATTCTCCTGGGCTGCTCGCATGGAAATTTACAAAATCAATATCGAAATTGCGAACCCCCATCACGGCGCCAGCTGCAGGCCCAAGGCTGGAGCTGAACTATCACTCCCTGATAACGACTGTGTTACGGCTATTCTTCCCATCCCATGCAAGGCCACCTGGATTGGCTGGAGAACTGTTTACTTAGCCTGGCAGGGCGAAGGACACTGTCTCAGCTGAACTATGGACATGCACACACATACACACTTACACTGATAAGCACGCACTCATCCCCCTCCCTTTCCAAACGCCTTCGATGCTTGTTTCCTGCGGGGGAACACGGCGGGTCTGTGTGCCACGCTGGAATGGTAGCGCTGTGCAGGGCGGCTGCTGTGTTCACTTCGGATTACTCCTCACCCCCCACCCAATCCTGTGGCTTGTCATGTCTTTCACAATGTTGTGCTGTGGACATTTATGTGCCCTGCATGTGGCGACAAATAAAGCTTGATGATACTGATACTGATACTTCAGCTCTTGGGGGAGGCGGACGCCTCTCTCTCCCTTGTCTTTCCTGCTTAGCTCCTATGTCCTTGTCTAGTCTCGTCTAACTCTAACCCTCAGAGATCCTTTCAGTCTCGTTCTTGTTCTCTAAAAAGTTAAGAAGAATTATAACTGTTGATTTGATCAACTGGTCCCTGAGTGCAGTTGACACTCTCTTCTCTACGAGGAGCCTGGGTTCGAGAGAGCCCCAGTGGAGGGACATTCCCTGCTGGATACACGATGGATGGGTAGCAGAAGTGGCGCGTCGTGTGGCTGGCGGGTCTGTCTATCGAGGACATTGAAGACATCTACCTATTCAGAACCATGACAACGGGGTTCTTGCTGATCTGAGCTGGTTTGGCCCTAGCTTATCAGCGGCAGCTGGACGCTTGAAGACCAATGCCGACGAGAACAACAACAAATTCTCCCCTGATAGCAACAACGAGACTCCCTAACTCTCTCACCAGTTCCCTCCAGGCCACCTGCGTAGGCTGCAGACTGTTGATCTTCGCTTAATTGGGTGAAAGGACATTTCCTCAGGCTGAACGCAAGCCACACATCCTCACACGCACGCACACAGACAAAAAGGCCATGTCTACACTAATACGTTTTGATCTTTTTCTCTCTGTTTTGGCCTCCCGTCCACACTGAGACGGCGTTTTCGGTCAAGGAAAACTGAGCTTTTTGAAAATGCTCTCCAAAGCAGATACGTTTGAAAAACGCAGCTTTTGCGTTGTGGTGTGGACTGTGAAAATGGAGGCTTTGTAAAACCATGATGCATTTTAGTCATGTGATGCAGTCATGTGACCAATTCAACTAAGGTGGTGGACAGCATTTTGTTTGCTGTCAGTTTTGACAGACCTATTAAAGGTTAATATCAGTCTGTACATGCTCCAGATAGCTTTTCTTCCAATTCTTTAATTCTCACTCGTTTTTGCAACTTTGCACTCTCATATTACTCGCTGCAACAACTCCACCTCATTGTCAGTCCATTTAAAAGATTTGGTGCTTTTCCTTCACATTTTGCCGCGATGTTTCAAAGAGCCGCAAAGTAAAAAAACAGCAGAAAGAAATGAGGGAGGTTGAATTGTGTTACTTTACGTGCATGTACAGTACTGGAACGTAAGCGTTTTTGGCTGTTTCAATGTGGACGAACAACTCTTTGAAAATGATAGTGTGGACACGGAGCAGTTTTAGACGAAGGTAGTCAAACTTAGGGGATCGAACTACCAGAAGGCAACATTGCAGACATCGAGGACAGCTACAAGTACCTGGGGATCCCACAGGCAAATGGGAACCATGAAGAGGCCGCTAGGAAAGCTGCAACCACCAAGTACCTGCAGAGCGTCAGGCAAGTCCTGAGGACTATCAACACCTACGCCCTACCTGTGATCAGGTACCCTGCTGGGATAATAAGCTGGCCAAAGGAGGAGATAGAAGCCACTGACATCAAGGCAAGAAAGCTCCTGACCATGCACGGAGGGTTTCACCCCAAGTCCAGCACCCTGAGGCTGTACACTAAGTGGAAGGAAGGAGGTTGGGGACCGCTGAATGTCAGCACCTCAAATGGTAAATGGCGTGTATTTATATAGCGCTTTACTAGTCCCTAAGGACCCCAAAGTGCTTTACATATCCAGTCATCCACCCATTCACACACTGGTGATGGCAGCTACATTGTAGCCACAGCCACCCTGGGGCGCACTGACAGAGGCGAGGCTGCCGGACACTGGCGCCACCGGGCCCTCTGACCACCACCAGTAGGCAACGGGTGAAGTGTCTTGCCCAAGGACACAACGACAGACTGTCCGAGCCGGGGCTCGAACCGGCAACCTTCCGATTACAAGGCAAACTCCCAACTCTTGAGCCACGATCGTGCTGGGTCTGGTGTCAGTTACCTCAGGCAGCAGAAACGTGAGAACGAAGAGGAGCAAGAGGAGGCACCATCATGGAAGGACGGGCCCCTGCACGGTATGTACCACCAGCAGGTAGAGTAAGTGACTGATATCCAGAAATCCTACCAGTGGCTAGACAAAGCTGGACTGAAAGACAGCACAGAGGCACTAATCATGGCAGCAGAAGAACAAGCTCTGAGATCCACAGAGGCTGGAGTCTATCACACCAGGTGCAGGTTGTGTAAAGATGCCCCTGAGACAATCCAGCCATATCCTTCATATTCATGTTATTTTAAATGGCTGAATTTGTGTTAGTACAAGTTCCTTACTGAGGATTTTTTGTGTGTTCCTGGTTGTGGTTTTATCTGCTCAGTGACTGTCGATAATAACTGTGCTGCGTCTGGTACAGTACATTTTGTCATTTGGGATTTTAATGTTTGACCTTTGACTCATTGTATTGACTTTGAGTACTCCGGGAGAGTAGAAAAGCGCTATATAAGAATCAGTCCATTTACCATTTTACCATTTACTTGTCAGTTACATTTGCATCAGTATAATTTGCTTACTGATGATGTGTTTTTATGTTCCTCTTTGTGATTGGACCTCAACAAAGTTAAAGTAGAAAATGAAATCAAGGTGTAACAGTTTAACTAGAATTTTTAAACTCTGATTTCAGGTTCTACTTGGAGCTCGAGCCTTTGTCCAGAGCAGCAGAACCCGAGGCTGCTGTGCGTTCAGGAGTCAGGTGACCTCAGGCTCCACCCCCTCTCGCACCGATTTTCATCACAGATGTTTTTTATCACAGTGAAATCTGGAAACCACATCTGTATTTTTCTGACACGTGTGAGCTGCTCCAGATGTTGTCAGTCATATCACGTCTCTCTTCTCCAGATGTTGTGCCAGCTGCTTTACTCCTGCCTCTGTCTGCTCTCTGCTGCCTCCTGCTCCCTGGTCAGTGCCACTGGTCTGTCTCAGGGTCCCCTCTGCCTCTACAACGACTCCTCTGGTCCCACCTGGGGGGTCCCGCTGCAGCCCCTCCCAGGCCGGTGAGACACACTCACACAGATGTTCTGAACTGGTTTTAGTGGTTTCCTGTCTCTCCGTCCTCAGACACTCGGAGTAATGTCAAAGATGTTTTCTTTGTAGCCTCGGACAGATGTTTCCTTGTACTCTTGGGCAGATATTTTCCTGTCTCCTTAGACACTCGGGATACCTGTTCAACAGGACTCTGTGGTATGGGGTCTGCTTGGAGCCCAGCTCGGTGGTCCAGTGGAACTTGGTCCTGTTCAGTGTGATGGGGACTGTGAGCGGACTGCAGACGGTCCTCTGTGGGGCCAACATCCTGAACTCCATACTTGGCCTGATTCTGGGCCGGGGCCTCTCCCACAGTAAGGTCTGTGGGAGAACACACCTTTGGACCATCTATTTATAACGTCTGCTCCAGATTTAGCAGTTTATTCATATCGCACGTGTGTGTGTGTGTTTCTATGTTTCAGATCAGTCCAGTTTCAGTTTGACGTGAGTTCGATCCTGGGAGCTCCAACTGTGATACACAGAATTAAAATTAAAAGTCTTTCACTGATGCACTTTAGATAATCAATAGCATGAAGATCAATAACCTGAAATACCTCGACCTTACGCAGGATTGCAGTACATGTACCTTTTAACAATTATTTATTTATTTTCCTGAATAAAACTATTCAAACATCCAGTTAAGCTAAATAATCAATAATAAAATAATATCCTCGTGCTTAATAAGAGCTTCAACAAATTCAAATGTTTGGTTAAAAAAAAACAACTAAATCATTGATTTTTGTTTTCAAAGTTAAACTCAGATTTTTATTGATTATGTTGTTTACTGATCATTTTATTAAACTTTTTATTTTTTTAATTAATTTATTTTGATTAGCATTCAGATATCTCAGTGTATACAGAATAAAGATCTACCACAAAGAAAGCACGAGACAAGGCTAATCAACAGTTATTGGCTGAAGCATACGCTTATGCTGTTTGTGTTTTTGTGATAATCCATAAAAACAAATAAAACTAAAAGTGTTAAAGATGTTGTGGTTTTAGTTGCAGAGATAATATCTGCAGATGTCACAGTTCTGATTACACTGATCATTCAGATAAGAACAACACAGCGCAAACAACAACGCTCTGTATTTATTCATGTGTTTGTGGAGTTTGCAGTGTGATGTTTCGAGGTTATGGTCCATGTGGATGATGGTCCAGTGTGGCGTCTTTGAACCCTGAGCCATCCTGTTCTGTCTCAGTCTGTTTTATCTGCAAGCTTGCAGCACATAAAGCTGAGTTTTCCTCCTGTATTTGGGTGCATTATGACTCCAACTCCAACCTGTCTGGGGGTTTTGCAGGACTGTGTTGCTGACATAAAATTGTGGTTGGTGCTCAGCTTTTTAAACTTGAATGCACCAACAAACACTATTACACTATTCAGACTCTCGCTCCTCTTTTAAGGACGACCTTGGCCCTGAATGTCAAGGTGACCTCAGATGAAGCAGGGCTCAGACGCACAGCTCCAAGTGAACTCCACTGCATTAATGTGTGAGTGAGCCAGAGGTCACACCCTGACTACGCACGTAGACAAGTACCATACACACACGTGCGATGGATCATGGCTCAGGTTTCTTTTTTAATCATGTGACAAACAGGAAGTAGAGCCGTGAGGATGAAAGTGGAGTCAGACTCTGGTTCAGCAGCTAAATGCAGCGGCTGTTTCAGAGCCACGTCTGCAGTGTGAAATGCAGACACGAGTGAGGCCCACACTCCCTGTGACGGCAGGCTCTGCTGAGGCAGGTGGGCTGGTTAATGGGTTGTGAGGGTGGAGTTAAAATGGGGTTGTCTTCCTGATCTGACTGTAGGTGGTGTGTTTGAGGTCCAGTCAGTCCAGTTACGCTTGCCGTCTCAGTGTAACGCCTTGTGTGTGTGTGTCCACGTGTCTTGTTTCCCCGCTTTGTTCCCATGTTCTCCTTGTGTTCAGCGTCATGTCTCCCAGCCCGTTGTGTCCTCTGTACGTGTTCCGTAGTTTGATCCGTGTCTCGTCTCCCATTGTCACTTCCCTGTTCACTTGTTTAGTCCGAGTGTCTTACTCTGCCTATTTCCTGTTTTATTTTGACAGTCCCGTGTTCCATGTTCGGTGTGTTTAATTTTGCTTCCCCTGTGGAGTCATGTTCATCTGGCAGCTGGTTCCATCGGTACCTTTCTGTGTATTTACGCCCTCTGTCTCCCTCTGCTGGTCGTCTGATCATCTGCTAAGCTCCTCGTGTCTCATATCTATTTCCTAGTGTTCCTGGTTTTCATGTATTTATTTTCCCAGTTTAGGTTTTTGCGATTAGTTTCCCTTCTTCGTGTGTGGTTCATGTTTTTGGCCATAATAAAAGACACGTTTTCTGTTCAGATCAGCACTGTTTCCACGTTTCGTGTGTCTGTCTTTGGGTCCACTACTGTCCACTCCACAGACCATGACATGACAACATGAGCTGAAGCTCAGGAGGGCTCAGAGGGCTGATTGATCAATCATCACACAAGTATTTTTTATTATTTATTTATTTTCTTATTTTGTCTGCTGCCCGTCATGGCCCCCTTGTCAAACCCTGTTGTCGTACCCCTTGACACCTTCCCCCATATCTCTGCTCAAAGTGCCAAAACCTCAGCCGGTGAGTGTTTGATTTCTATTTATTCATGTGGTGTTTCTGCTCCCTCCGCACCCTTGCTCTTGAATAACTTTCAAAATATACTGTATATCTAAAACCCAAAGCAGGCTGCCTGTGTACGGGAGCTGTCAGGAGGCTGTCATGTTAGTCTGCTCTGCCTGGCATACACACTGTCTTATGAATTCATGAGCTTGAAGTAGAAAAATATCTGTAAAACTGTGCGTGTAGCTGTCTGTGTGTACACGTTTACCTTTGATTATACATTTGCATGTAGGTGGCACAGCTTTGATGACATGTTAAACACAACACTGCAAAAATGAAAATAGGCACCGATGAGAAATGATCTTTACAAGTCTGTGCAATTTTTAGTTGATATATATACATGCAGCCAGCATGGATTCATGTGCATGATGTGACTTTAACCACATAAAAAGACCCCAATTCACCAGCCAGAGAAGATTCTTAAGTTTCTCAGCTTTTTCATGTAAAGGTTTTGGTCTAATCAGCCCTCAGTCTGTGCTGATTTAACATTGGAGCCCATTTCTCCCTGTCCTTAATCAGGCTCTCATCATGTTTCCTGCACGCCATGAATGATTCACTGTCGGTCAGATCTGAGCACGTGGACAGCCTCTAAAGGACTTGAGCGACCGTGGCTCAGGGGGTTGGGAAGCGCATCTGTAACCGGAAGGTCGCCGGTTCAATCCCTGGGGTCTCTGTCCTGGTCGTTGTGTCCTTGGGCAAGACACTTTACCCTACCGCCTACTGGTGTTGGCCAGAGGGGCCGATGGTGCGATATGGCAGCCTGGCCTCTGTCAGTCTGCCCCAGGGCAGCTGTGGCTACAACTGTAGCTGCCTCCACCAGTGTATGAATGTGAGAGTGAATGAATAGTGCCATTGTAAAGTGCTTTGGGTGCCTTGAAAAGCGCTATATAAATCCAATCCATTATTGTTTTCTGTCTAGAAGTTCTGTAACATCTTCCAGCCTTTTAAGATGAAACGGGAGCTCGAGAGATGAAGGGGGCATATTATAATATCACAGAAGACTTCTCTCTGATAAACCTTCGCCATGGTGCTGCTCTGCAGGTCACTGACGGTTGAAGACGAAAGAGCCTGGGTAAAAGAAAGGGGAGAAAGAAAGAGGGAAAGAAAAACAGCGGGGAAGAGGGACGGGGATAAAGGGCAAAAAACAAAAACCAACAAAATAAGCAGACAAAAAAATCCATCTATCAATCACCTGGGGTGGCTGTAGCTCAGGTGGCAGAGCAGGTCAGCCACTAATCAGAAGGTCGGTGGTTCGATCCCAGGCTGCATCCTGGCTGCATGCCAAATGTCCTTGGGCAAGATACTAACCCCGTGTTTGCCTACTGGTGGTGGTCAGAGGGCCCGGTGGCGCCAGTGTCCGGCAGCCTCGCCTCTGTCAGTGCGCCCCAGGGTGGCTGTGGCTACAATGTAGCTTGCTATCGCCAGTGTGTGAATGTGTGTGTGAATGGGTGAATGACTGAATGTAGTGTAAAGTGTAAGTGTAAAGTCCTATGGACTAGAAAAGCGCTATACAAATGCAGGCCAGGCCATCACCTGTTGAGAATGAAAAAAGAGTTAATGATCTGCTCTCATTTGTTTCCTTGTAAATGTGACACCATGCCCTACCTGGAATCCACCTGTGCAGGTATTTTTACAGGCTGTTTGTTCTCCGAGAGGTTGGACCGGTCGGGCTGCTTCACCTGAGAGGAGGCGGACAAGGTTTAACGGCATATTGTATGTTTTACGATAAGGGAATTCTTAGGGACTTCCAATCAATAAAAGATCAATACCAGTTAAGTAAAACGGACTTTTTTAGGTTCTTACAAATTAGGCATCATCTATATAATTTTATACCTAAGAGAACAGATCTTTTTTCTTTACCTGTTCTGAGTATATTTGTCAAGGCTTATCAGGCTGACACAGGCCTTAAGGTGATTTCAAGATTGTACAAGGGTATACAAGAGGTTAAGAAGTGGAATACTACCTACATCCAAAAAAAAAATGGGAAAATGAAACAAATATAGCAATATCAGATAACATTTGGTATGAGCAGTGCGCTTTTCAGTGGAGAATTTCTAGTTCTAATACATGGAGATGTTACGGTTGGAAGAGTATCTGTAGGTTTTTTATTACCCCTGCACAAAGTAAACATTATTTTAATCACTCTAATTGCTGGAGAAATTGTGGGGCCCAAGGAGTAAAACATTTTCATCTGTTCTGGTCTTGCCCAAGGATCAACATTTTTTGGGTATTGATCCACTCTGAGTTGCAGATTATTTTTGGTATGCAGCTTCCCTTTAATTGGGACGAACTTTTGTTTGGATATTTATACTCAGTAAATGTAGATAAAATGTCTAAGCAGTTGTATGGTATCCTGAGTTTGGCTGCCCGTAAAATTATTACCAAGAAATGGCTTAGTGTGAAAATTCCATCACTGGGTGATTGGCATGAGACTGTACATGGGATGTTTAAAATGGAAAGAATTACCTTCATTGAAAGACTCCAGTTTGATATATTTAGTGAAATTTGGGGTAAATGGAAACACTACATCCGGTTAAGGAGACCCGATCTTGTTTGAATCTCTGTAACTATATATGCCACATTTCTGAATCGTTATGTGTTTATATGTATATGTTAGTATGTATGAGACTACAAGTGAACACATATGTAAGTAGGTATGTGTATGTATGCTTAAGAATATGGGTGTGTGAGTGAATATGTGTGTGCGAGTACATACACACTAGAGGGTACACCCGTCTGTTTTTCTTATTTTTATTTATTTATTTTTTTTATTATTTACGTCTGTTCTTGATTATATGTTTATTTTGGATTATTTGTGTTTATATAGGTTGTTTAATAAAAAGAGAATAACAAAAAAAAGAAAAAAGAGAAAACAAGCTGAAGAAAAAAAAAGAGCAACACAATCAACATCATCGCGATGATATATGGGAATATGACAGTAAATACTAAATATTAAACATTATTGTGCAGCACATAAGATCAACAGAACACAGTGTGCTTTGAGGTAGGAGCCAAAAAGGGTGTAGTTTGTGGGTGTGATCACCCGTGTGTACACCTGTGAGCATGGACGCGCTTGTTTTTTTAAAAGGTTCCTTCATGTAATGATCTGCTAGAGGGTGTGGGGGGGCCACAGCCCCGTCCTCCAGGGCATGAAGCAGGTATGGACGAGATCAAGACTCCAGACATCCAGAGGCCCTCAGAAGGAAGCAGAGGAGCCGAGTCATGTGTCGAGCTCAGAGTTTGAAATCAGCCATTTCCTCTAATTCTTTTATGTGCAGCCCAGCAGCTCAGAGTGCGTG